ATATCTTGTCCTCTTACTTTATATATCTTTCTTATGCAGAATTTTAAAATTTTAATGCAGTCAAATCTATAACTATTTTTTCTTTTACAGTTTACAGTTTATCTTATTCAAAACCAGGGACTTAAAGTCTGAGGTATAGTCTTAAATATTCCTTATGGGTATATGATAGAGGAAGGTCATTGGTTAAATAAAAAGAAACTGCTTGGCCCTCATTGGTTAGAAGATAGGTGGGAGGAGTAAACAGAACAGAACGCTGGGAGGAAGAGGAAGTGAGCTCAGACTCCACAGCTCTCCTCTCGGGAGCAGACGCCTCAGAGAGATGCCATGTTCCGCTCTCCCGGGCAGACACATGCGATGAAGCAAGCCGCCAGGTTAGACATGCTGAATCTTTCCCGGTAAGACCGGTGCTCACAGATTATTAGAGATGGGTTGATCGGGATGTGAGAATTAGCCTGTAAGGGCTAGAGCTAAAGGGCCAAGCAGTGTTTAAATGAATACAGTTTGTGTGTTGTTATTTCGGGTAAAGCTAGCCGTGCGGACGGCTGGGGTGCTGGGGATGCAGCCCCGCCACTCATATTACTACAGGTATATGAAGACTTTCTGAGGTGTTCAAGTATATACATGGCTTAGCCTAGTATAATGACACATATCAATATTCCTATCACTAAGGAGCAGGAGAGCGATAGGAATTGAAAGACAGTCACAGTTACATAGTTCAAGTCTAGAGTGTTTACATGAGACCCTACCTAAAAAAAAAAAAGAAAAAAACTTAACTGGGGATGCAGCTCAGTTGGCACAGTGCACACCTAGAATGTACAAGGCCATCCACTCAATGTCCCAAACTGCATAAAACTGGTGCTGGGGAGTTGGTTCCTTCCACAAGTAATGGGTGACTGCTGGCAGGCCTGACAGTCTGAGTCCCAGCCCTGAATCTGACACAGAGAAAGGAGAGAACAGTCTACAACAAGTTGTTCTCTGAACGCCAAGTGTGCAAAATTAATAAATATAAAAAAATATGGGTATGGTGGCAAACACTGGCAGTTCCAACACTTGGGAAGTGGAGACAGGAAGATCAGATGCCCATGGTTATCCTGGAGTATGTATATAGTGAGGTCAAGGCCAGCCTGGGATGGGAGGCTCTGTTTCACAGGCCAATAACAAAAGTAAGTAAGCAAGCAAGCAAACCAACATACCAAAGCAAATATAGATAACTTTAAGGGACTTTTTCCATATCCTCAATTTCAATGTCTACTCTGGCAGGGCTTTTATTTGTTTGAAGACAGTTTCATGTAGCACAGGCTGACCTTGAACTAGCTACATAGGTGAGAATGACTAATAGGCAGGTGCTGCTGTGCAGGGTTTTCTATGGTACTGGGCGTAGAAGCCAGTACACTGTGTATCCTAGGCCAGTGTTCTACCAGCTGAGCTCTATCTCAGACCCCCCTTTTTCATGTTTACTCATGCCTGACGCTGAAACACCTCAAGAGTACCTGTGTGGTGTCCTCCTTCTCGGTTTCCTGTCCCATCCTTCTTTTCACAAGTGTGCCTGCATCTTTACCCCACAAGCTGAATCATGTTAAACCTCTTAAATCACACTTGAAGCAGAAAGAAAGCCTCTGACAAACAAAGGAGCCAATCAATATATTGACGTGAAAAGTGTACATGTTGTCAGGTCTAGGGCCAACGTCCTTAATCCCAGCATTTGCAAACAAGAGGCAAGAGGCTCAAGAGTTCAAGGCCACCCTATCAACTTCTCCAGTTGTTTAAAATGTTTCACAATAACATATCAAAGGGATAATGGACAAATAGTACTGATGCCAAGAAAGCCTCTCCACAGCCATAGTTTTGTGTCTTTCTCTGTTCCTGTTCCCACGGGGAAAAGGAAAAGTAAAGAGAGTTTGAGTAAGAAATACTGAAGGTGGCAGAGCCTTATTCTAGGCAACAATTTCATGGCAAGACTATGCCACGTCTGTCTTAGGCTTCAGAAATGAGAGCCAGGGAAACTGCTTAGGCAAACAAAGGTACCTGCCATCAAACTTGACAACCTGATTTCCATCCCTAGGACCCACGCAGTTGAAGAAAAAAACTGGCCCCTGAAAGCTTTGCTCTGACCTCCATAAGACTTGTGCACACATGAAAAAAGGAAAGGGAGGGAGGGAGGGATGGATGGAGGGAGGGAGGGAGACAGAGCACTAGAGAAAGGGCTAATCAGTTATGTGTGCTTGCTACTCTTCCAGAGAACCAGAGTTTGCTTCCCAACACCCATGTCAGGGGCTCACAACCTCCTGAAACACCAGCTCCAAGGGATCTGACACTTCTCTGTCTTCTGTGAATGTACTCATATACACACAAACAAATACAAATCATAAAGGCCAGGAATGATGGTGCATGCTTTTAATTACAGCACTTGAGAGGCAGAAGAAGGTGAATATCTGTGAGTTTGAGGCCAGCTTGGTCTTCATAGCAAGTTTCAGGCCAGCTAGGGCTCCATAGTGAAACTCTGAAAAATATCTTTTAAAGGGCTGGAGAGATGGCTCAGAGGTTAAGAGCATTGTCTGTTCTTCCAGAGGCCCTGAGTTCAATTCCCAGCAACCATGTGGTTGCTCACAACCATCTATAGTAAGATCTGATGCCTTCTTCTGGCGTGTAGGCAACCATGCAGACAGAACATTATATAAATAATAAATAGATAAATCTTGTAAAAAAATCTTTTAAAAAATTAATTTTGGAGCTAGAAAGATGGCTCAGCTGTTAAGAGCACTGGTTGCACTTTCATAGGACCCAGGTTTTATTCCCAGGACTCACATGAGAGCAAGTAACTTTCTGTAACTCCATTTCCAGGGGACGCCATGTCCTCTTCTGATCCCCATAGGCCATGCCTGTACATGGTGTATAGACATAGAGACCAAACACTCATGCATAAAATAAATAAAACACAATTTTTCAAATTAATTTAAAAATAAGTAAATTTTAAGAAAAATAGACTTTGTAAATGAGATAATGATAGTTGTTTACAAAGACTATATTAATATGCTTTCATTTGAATTGAAAGTAAGTCCATTTCTAAAAACCAATGTAAATCTCACTTGACAGGATCTTCTTCAACAGTAGGACTGATTCTGGCAACGAGATTATATGGGACACTATCTCCATAAATTAATGAATGCAAACAAGCAGTTCTGAGACACTAATGAAAACATATTCAAAGCACAAGAGAAGATAGGAACATTTAATTTTAAACTCTACACTGGTAAACATCGTTTCAAATTAACAATAGTTTACCTTCCAAGACTATTTGAATATATCAAGTGAATTAACTAACTTCTAAGTGAAAGAATAGATAAGCACAACTATTGGTCATTTAATAAGCTTATTGATAATTCCTAGAAACTGAAAAAAAACTCTAGGTAGTGAGAGAAAAATATTTTTCAATTTCAGTGGTTTCCAATTATTTCCTTTCAACAAACTTAAAAGAAAGTCCAATCAAATAGATCACAAAATATCATTTCTGATATGTCACTGCGTGTCTTTTGTGTTTTCTTTTTGCCAGAAGACTCTAGAAAAGTTCAAGTAATTAAATTGCATTTGCTTTACAATACTCTATTCCCATTTTCTTATGTGTTTGAACAGGTCTCTTGATGTATTATGTCTGTAAAAATAGAAACAATGGGGCTGTAAAAATGGCTCAGGGGTTGAGAGTACTGACTGCTCTTCCAGAGGACCCAGGTTCAATTCCTACCACCCACAAGGAATTACTGTCTGAAATTCCAGTACCAGGGAATCTGACATATCATAAGATGCAGACAAGCCCCCAAAGTATAGTAAGTAAGTAAATCTTTAAAAAATAGAAACAAAGGTGGGAGTTGGAAGAAGGTTCAGTGGTTAAGAGCACTGGCTGCTCTTCCAGAGGACCCAGGTTCCAGTTCCAGCACCCATATGCAGCTCACAACCACCTGTAACTTCAGTTGAGGGGATCCAAGGTCCACCTCTATTCTCCACAGGTAACAGGCATGCATGTGGTTCACAGACATACATCCAGGTAAACACTCATAGCACATATAATAATTTTTAAAAAAAAATAAAAAGAGGACTGGAGAGATGGTTCAGTGGTTAAGAACACTGACTGTTCTTCCAGAGGTCCTGGGTTCAGTTTTCAGAACCCACAAGGCAGTTCAAAACTGTCTGTAGTGCCGGGTGGTGGTGACTCATGCCTTTAATCCCAGCACTTGGGAGACAAAGGTTAGCGGATCTCCATGACTTTGAAGCCAACCTGGTCTACAAGAGCTTGTTCCAGGACAGGCTCCAAAGCTACAGAAAAACCCTGTCTCAAAAAACCAAAACCAAACAAAAAGAAAAGAAAAGAAAAGAAAAGAAAAAAACTGTCTATAGCTCCAGTTCCAGGGGACCAGAAACCCTCACACAGACATATATGCAGGCAAAACATAATACTCATAAAATAGAAATAAATAAATCTTTAAAAGGTGAAAAATAAAAACAGAGAAAGAAACAAGGCTGAGAGCAGTGGTTAAGCGCACTTAAAAAGCCAGACATAGTAGTGCACACCTTTAATTCCAGTACTCGGGAGGCAGAAGCAGATGGATCTCTGTGAGTTCGAGGCCAGCTTGGTCTACAGAGAGAGTTCCCAGGACAGCCAGGACTACATAGTGAGGCCCTATTTTGAGAAAATAAGAGCACTTACTGGTTTCTCAGAGTACAGATCTCACCAACCACATGTGGCAGTTGACCACTGGGCCAGCATCAAGAAATACAGTGCCCCTTTATAAATACATGTATTCACACACACACACACACACACACACACACACTCACACATACCCTTTAAAAAAACATGAATAGAATTGATGCTAAACTCTGTCATATTCTAAGCAAAAGAAGTATTCACCCATTCATATGTGAAAGAAAAAAATGTTTAAAAATTAAAACTCATGTTTGCTAATACTTTCTATATCTAATATAGTCCAGGTTAGTATTGAACTCACAGGGCAGATGATGATGACCTTGAATTCCTGATCCTCTTGTGGTCACATCCCAAATGCTGAAATTCCAGGTGTGTTACCACGATGTTCTCAAGAATAGCTTTAGGTTCACTTTTTTTTTCCTGAAAAGAAATATGAGAAGCAATCAGTAATAGCCACCCTCACTCTAGTTGCCTTACCCAAATATTATAGACTGGCTAACTGGAACAAAGGCAAGTTATTTTCTTATGTTGGACCCTGAAGTCCAATCACCAAGGAGGAGTTGCCCCAAGAGACCACTCTCACACCACAGTTGATGTAAAAGCAAGAGGATTTAATTAAATCTGTCGCGACAGGGTCTTTCAGCATTCGAGAAGCCAGAAAGTCCCCAAATAGCTGGTACAGGCTATTTTTAAAGTAAAAAGCTACAGAAACAAGGGGGGGGTCTGGGGGTTGTTTTTCATCCTAACCGTATCTGAGGAACTGAATCAATATCCCCTGACCAAGGCCAAGGAACTGAGTCAACATCTAAGGGTTATCTTGCTCCGATTCCAATAACTGAGTTCTATCTGGAGAACATCCACAAGGACACAGGGAGATGGAAAATCCCCAACATTCCAGTACGTGCATGTGAAGTTGTTAGGTCTTTGGTTCACAGGGGAGGGCAGAGTACTGCTGCTGAGAGGCCTCAGAAATGGCCTCAGAGTTGTCAGAAATGGCTTCAGAGTTATCCTAGAGTTTTACATTTATAATGGCAGTGGTTGGCAGTTCAGGATAAAGGCATGAACACATACAGTGTTGGTAAATGTGCTCCTCTGGACTGTGCACAGTCTTCTTATCCCTGTGTCCCCACATCAGGATGCCTGCGAAGATCTCTTTGTACAAGGGCACTAATCCCAACATAAGACACACACTCTCAGACCTCTCATTTAAACCTAATTATTTCCCAAAGGCCTTATATCCTAGCAGCCAGTGGTAATTATGGCTTCAACATATAAATATTCAATCCATACATTTTTAAAGCATAAGATCATGTTATATTAAGGTAAAATTCAGTGAGGTAAGTAAAATAGAAAAATTAATTAGAATGAAAGACAATTTATATGAACTTTCTGGCTATTATTATTATTATCAATATTTTGAGACCATGGTTTTCTATTATGTAGCTCTGGCTGTCCTTGAACTCACTATGTAGCCCAGGCTGGCCTCAAACTCAAGAGTTCTGTTTGTCTCTGCCCCTGAATGCTGGGTTTAAAGGCCTGTGCTACTATGCTTGGCTTATTTTTGATTCTTTAAAGAGAGTTTTATGTAACCCAGGCTAGCCTCAAACTTCCTATGTATTGAGGAGTACCTCGAAATTCTGATCCTCTTGCCTCACACAATTCCCAAGTTCTGGAATTATAAGCATGACCAATTGTGCCCAGATGATTTACTTTTACAGCAGTACCATGTATTAGGCAGGGAATGGTGACACATGCCTGTAATCCCAGCCCTTGGGAGGCAGAGGCAGAAGGATCACGAGTTCAAGTTCATTAAAGGTTACATATTGAATTCACATTAGATGCCACCCTGGTCTATATGAAACTTTATCTCAAAAGAAATAAAACCAACAAGAACCCAAGTAATGCTGGCATTACAGGAATCAGTGCCCATGCCTCCATTTGGTTTTCCTCAATGACTATGCTAGTTAACATTTATACCAACTGTGTACAAAGATTCTCTTTTCTCTACATTCCCATCATTGACTGTTAAACTGGATTTCTTTTAAGACTTGGTCTCAAGTATCTTTGGCTAGCCTCAGGCTCACTATGTAGTTGAGGATAATATTGAACTCCTGATTCTCATGCCTACCCCAGTGCTGGCATTACTGGCATGTGTCACAATGCCCAGTTTTGTTTGTTTGTTTCGTTTTTCAAGACAGGGTTTCTGTCCTGGAACTCACTCTGTAGACCAGGCTGGACTCGAACTCACAATGATCCTCTTGCCTCTGCCTCCTGAGTGCTGGAATTAAAGGCATATGCCACTACTGCTCAGCCACCATGCTCAGTTTTATAAAATTCCAGAGACTGAATCCAAGGTGTTTGGCATACAAAGCAAGCACTCAACTAAGCCCCAGATCTAGCCCTGGATATTTTTTAAAACAACCATTCTTATGGGTATGAGGTGATATCTCATTATGGTTCTGATTGCATTTTCCTTATGATTAGTGGAATGTAGTTTTCCCACCTACTTTTAGACATATTTTAGCCATGTTTACTATGAAGCCCTTGCTATCCTGGAATTCACTATGTAGACCAGGCTAGAGTCAACCTCACAAAAACTGTCCTGTCTCTGCTTCCAAAGTGCCTTTAGCCATTCTTCTGTCTTCTTTTGAGAAACTTCGAGGAGCTCCCCTTCTGGGTTTTTAGAGGCAAAACTAGTAGGTCCACCAACTTTCACCTAATTTTCATGCACAGACCTAATTGGGAACAAAAAACTGTTACAAAGGGCAGAAAATTCAAAGGGAAGAATGTCATCATGCAAATGAGGTATGGGTAAGAGTAGGGCTCGAAATGGTACACTCCTAGCTGCCTTGGGGTACTAAATGGAGCATAGTATGTGCATGCTTTTGATTGGCCCATTCCTGGCTATCCTTGAGGCAGCACCATTCCAACTATTATCAGCTACAGCCAGATGGTCCTTGTCGCATACTCTCTGTTTTTCTGAAGTGTTTTTCAAACTAACTTAGACAGAGTGACCAACTTAAGCAAAAGCAATAAAGTTGCTCTGACATTCTTATTCCTCTCTTACATTTTGTAATTGAGTTGTTTTCTTTTTCACTATTAAGGTATTTTTTGCTTATTTGTTTTTGAAACAGAGTCTTGCTACATAGCCCAGGCTGACCTGGAACTTAATATATAACTCAGGTTGGCCTTAAATTTACCATCCTTTTGCCATAGTCTGCCAAGTGCTGGAATTGTAGCATGTTTTGATGTGGGGTTCCCCTTTCTATGCTGTGAATATGTTTCATTACCATTAGTTAATAAATAATGCTCTTTCAGCCAATGGCTTAGCAGAGCAAAGCCAGGTGGGAAATCTGAAGATAGATAGATAGATAGATAGATAGATAGACAGACAGATAGATATGCAATGTAGCTGCTGAAGGAGACAGACTCCGGATCCTTACCAGTAAGCCACAGCCTCATGCCAATACATAGATTAATAGGAATGGGTTAATTTAAGATGTAAGTGCTTCTTAACTTCTGAGCTATCTCTCCAGCCCCATGGAAAGCACTTTGGCTTTAGTTGTTTTTGTTTTGTTGTTGTTTTACGAGACAAGGTTTCACATAGCCAAGGCTCGCCTTGAAATTTTCGTCTTCCTGTCTCCACCTCCGAGATTCTGAGATGGTCCATACCTGCTTTATATGACACTGGTACAAGCATTCTACCAACTAAAGTACATCTGCATCCCCAGGTATTCTTTTTATTCGTGTACTGATCCAAAACATAGAAGAATGCCAAGCATGCAGGATATTCTCAAGTTAGGTTCCCTCTACCCAAAGCCCTCTACCACCCATCTACCTAAGCCCACCCCTGCAGTGACTTCTATCTCTGTTGTGGAGGCAACAAGAAAGGCCCTGGATGCAGATCAAAGCAGGCTACACCAGACTTCAGCAGTAATTTGCTTTTTAATATAGGGTCTCATGTAGCCCAGGCTGGCCTCAAACTTGCTATATAACCAAGGCTGGCTATGGACACTTTTTTACTGTTCTGCTTTTTTTTCAAGGCAGGGTCTCATTATGTAGCTTTGACTGTTCTGGAACTTACTCTGTGCACCAGACTGGCCTTGAACTCAGAGACCCACTTTCGACTTTGCTTCCTAAATAATAGCACCAAAGGCGTGCATGCGCCACTAAACTGGGCTGTGGCTCTGAACTCTTGATATTCCTGTGATGAGATTATAGGTGTTCAGCACCTTAACTTGCTAAACTTCCATCCTGAAGGACAACAAAGAATTAGGTAAATGAAGCAGTGAGACAAAACATAATAAGGCATAGAAATGGAACAAAAAGCCTTGTACACTGGAATGGCAGTTAATGCCTTCTGTTCTCTCTCTTGTTCTCTCTCTCTCTCTCTCTCTCTCTCTCTTTCTCTCTCTCTCTCTCTCTCTCTTTCGTGACAGGGTTTCTCTGTGTAACAGCTCTAGCTGTCCTAGAACTAGCTCTGAGACCAGGCTAGCCTTAAAGTCACAAAGATCCGCCTGCCTCTACCTTCTGAGTGCTGGGATTAATGGCGTGCACCACCAGCACCCGGCTCTGCTGCCGTTCTCACACTGTGTGCTGATTGTGCTACACAGTGACAAAGCCTCTCGGACACAGGGTTGTGTCCTAAGTACAGTTAGTCCAGTTTTTCTAAACACCTGAGTTTCTAGCAACCACCACCCTCAGTATCTGATCAAATTTCCTCATTCTGTGCTCATCACACTGGCCTGCCTCCAGCAAAAATTCCCCTAGAATTTGACATTTCCTCTTGGTAGTTTACCATCTGCTGACCCCTATCCTTTCCCTTGGCTACAAATTATGGGGTCCTTCCTTGCTATGCGCGCAGCTGAGCCTAACTAACTTCCTCTTACTGACAAACCTCACTGCCGTGGTCACTATAGCAATCACGAGAGAGCCTTTCTTTACTAGATATCATTAAAAGGATGTTAAGAAACATCACGTTTGTTCTCCATGGAACCCCACGAGGGGCATACTTTGCTAACACCATCTTCCAGACCAGAATACGGGAGGGGACTCGAGAAGTATGCTGACGATTCAGATTTTAACAGGGCTGAGTGGGAGGGAGGATGGAAAGAGTGAGAGAGGTTCTAGGGAACTCTTCCGACAAATTTGTCCTAGTCCATCTGAGCTGCTATAACAAATATAGCAGATGCAATTTTGTTTGGTCTCAGGTCAGAAGGCTAAAAGTCTTTTTGTTGTTTTTGAAGGACAAATTCTAAGCTCAAGGTGTGAGCAAGTTCTAAGTAAGGCTGCTGTTGTTTGTGGGCTTTTTGGTTTTGTTTTGATTTTTGAGACAGGGTTTCTCTGTGTAGTCCTAGAACTAGCTTTGTAGACCAGGCTGGGCTTGAACTCACAGAGATCTGCCTGCCTAAGCCTCTGAAGTGCTGGGATTAAACGTGTGTACTACCACCGCCCAGTTGATGTTTCTTTTAATGGTCTTCTGTCCTATGATAAGGACAGCAATAAGGTTTTAGCAGGTTCCACCCTGAGAGTTGCACTTGAATTTAAATACCTCTTCAAAGGCCCTTTCTCAAAATACAGTCACATTCTAAGGTACTAGGAGATAGGGATCCAGCACACACATTGGAGAAGAGACAACTGAGTGCACACATGTCTTAGAATGGATTTGAGCTTTAATCTATAGAGAAGTTATTCTGAAACCTGGTGGTGAGTCAGATGCACTGGAAGATCTTTGGGAAAGTTCTAGTTCCAGGCCATGATTCATATTCAGTCACTCTGGGCTAGATTCTGGGGAGAAGTTTAGTTCCTCTGTCCTTTCCATTTGATTCTGGGAAGTCGGATTTTTCTCCCTACCCCCCTCTTCATCCAGGTACTAGGATTGAACACAGGATCTTGTATGTGCTAGATAAGCACTTATCACCAAGTTACATCTTCAGCCCTTTTATTAAAATTCTGAGGGCCAAGAAAATGGCTTGAGGGTAAAAGCATGTATTTGCCTTGCAAGCCTGATGATCTGAGTTCAATTCCCAGATTTAAAGGTGGAAGGAGAGAATCAACATGTGAAAATTGTCTTCTGATCTCCAAACCCAGACACTGCACACAAACACCCATGCTCACACATCATACATACACAATCACAGTCACATAATAAAATTAAAAATTTAAAAATAAAAAAACAAAAAGAACACATAGACTGTGACGAACATTCAGCAGGCACTAACTGCAATTATCTACATTTAAGATATGAATCTGTTCAGTACTCTGGCTTCTGGTTCATACTCTTTCTATCTAAACACACATCTGATTATTCATAGTGACCCTCTAATAAGCCAGCTTCCCTCCTGGACCTCAACTCCAGTAGTTTTTTACTTCCCCCAATCCAGACTCACAGGGACAATTCCCTGACCTTGACTGTTTTGAGATTGTTGTCTCTTTGAACACTGCAGAGACAGTGTATAGCCATAGGACTGGACTAGTATATAGAAAGCTTAGATGGGGGCTGGAGAGATGTCTCAAAGGTTAAGAGCACTGGCTGATCTTCCAGAGGTCCTGAGTTCAATTCCCAGCAACCATCTGTCATTTGATCTGGCTCCCTCTTCTGGCCTGCAGACTGAACACTGTGTAATAATAAATAAATATTTTTTTTAAAAAAAAGAAAGCTTGGATGGACTTTTCTCTTAGTTTGAGATGACTGTGTGCTCTTTTGATCCCACCCCAAACTATGACCATGTCCCTAGAAGATAAAGCCAGAGAAGGAAAAGGGAGGGCTAGATAGAGATAGCAGCTTTGTCAGCTCATGATTTACACAGACAGGAAATTACAGCTGCAAGAAGTGAGGGAAAGTTCAGGTATAGAGATACCAGAGCAAAATTCAGGAGATAATCCAGAATGATTGGCCCACACCTCACATTACAGGAAGTTGAAGTGGGAGGAGTTCCAGGAGTTCCAAGCCAGTCTAGCCTACAGTAGGAGACCTTATTAAGAAAGAAAAGAGGGGGGATAGAAGGAGAGGGGGGAGAGAGGAAGGAAGGGAGGGAGGGAGGGAGGGAGGGAGGGAGGGAAAGAGGGAAAGAAAGGAGAAGAAGGGAGGGAGGGTAAAGGAGGGCAGGAGGGGGGAGAAAGGAGGAGGGAAGAAAGGAAGGAGGAAAGGAAGTAGCCAGAGGGGAGAAAAGCAGATGCTACAAGTAGTTGCCAATTGATGACCATAAATGATCTTCAGGAAGGCCATCCTCTCTGACATACCAGTGTGATCCTTGACAGGTATGTACCTCTTCCTGTAAAAACGCATACGACAATAGTTCTAATGGCAAAGGCTGAACTCACCCTACCCACACCCCTTCAATCAAGGGAGTTCTGCTTTCGATCTACTATATTTGGGCTCTAACTTAAAACTTCTTGCAAAAAAGTTCCAATGTTAAACCACTGTGACTGTAAGTATGAATTTTGCTTTCAATGAAACCTAGTTACCACTCAAGTGTGGCGACTACTGTCAAATATTCTCCTCTATTTAGCTGCATCCAATGCATTTTAGTCTTGGAAGGAGTGTACTTTCTCCTACTCAAAGCAGATGCTTCTGTTTGTACATGATTCTTTTATCTTTTCCTAATTTCCTATGACTTCTTAGGCCATTCATTTTTTTTCTCCTATGTGGCAGCATACTAAATTCCTGTTTTAATCATTTAGAGGGCCACTGGAAGGGTTTTGATTTTCTGTTTCTTGTTTGTTTGTTTTGAGTTTGGGTCTCAAGCGTCTCAGGTTGGCTTGAAACTCACTATGTAGCCATGGATGATCTTGAACTTCTGGCCCTCCTGTCTTCACTTTATAAATACTAAGATTACAGGTGTGTGCCATCATGCCTAAGCTTAAACATTGTTGCTTTCACTGGTTGCAGTCTTGGATCCTGTATACTTTTCTCTAATATTTTCCTTAGCTTAGAAAATTCCAAGCAAATATCCTTGCACAGGTAAGAATAAGCTCTCAATAGATTTTTTTCTAATTTAGCATTTCTATGAGTCCTTGGACATAGAACCTAGACATCATATCTCCCAATGGACAATTCACTATTTACCAAGGGTCTAAATTAGTCACAAAATGCTTGTTTATCCATTCTACAAACATCTGCTGAACACTTACCACATCAGATGTTGTTGTGAGCACTTGGGCTATATCTCTGAACAACAGAAAGGCCTCTGCTCTTTGTAGCTTTTTTCCTTTCTTCCTTTCTTTTTTTTTCTTATTTGTATGTGAGGCTGCAAGAGTTCGTTTACACTACCTGATGATTCAGGCAGAGAGTGGGCATCAGATCACCAGTAACTGGAGTTAACAGATGGTTTGGAATCACTATGTGAGCACTGGGGACTTAGTGAAGGTCCTCTGCAAAAACAGAAAGCATTTTTAATCAGTAATCCATCTTTCCAGTCCCTGTTTTATCTTTATTTGAGACAAGGTTTGACTATGGAGTAGCGCTGTCCTCAAACTCTTGCTTTTTGCAGCACCCTCTTAAATGCTGGGGTTACAGAAGTACAGGACCATGCTTGGCTCCTGATCCTTTTGTTCTTGAAGGTTTTATTATAGCAGGGATAAAAGGAGGAAATACACAGTAAATAAAACAGATGAGGGCTTGAAAGATGGCTCAGTGGTTAAGAGCACTGGCTGCTCTTCCAAAGGACCTGGATTCGATTCCCAGAACCCACATGGCAGTTTACAACCACCTGTAAATTCAGTTCCAGTGGATCCAGTGCTTTATTCTGACCCCTGCAAGTACCAGGGATGCACAAACTGCACAGACATACATGCAGGCAAAACATTAATACATATAAAATAAGAAAACAAGAACAGCTGAGAGGACATGGAATGGGGGGTATGTTGAGGCTGCCTAAGGAGAAGTGGGAAGGAGGTAGGAGTTCCTATGTGGAGTGGGAAAGGGGAATTTGGGTGCATATGATCAACATTTATTGTTTACATATATAAAATTGTCAAAGAATAAATAAAAGATAATTTTTTTTTTGGTTTTTCAAGACACGGTTTCTCTGTAGCTTTGAAGCCTGTCCTGGAACTCGTTCCATAGACCAGGTTGGTCTCGAACTCACAGAGATCTGCCTGCCTCTGCCTCCCAAGGGCTGGGATTAAAGACGTGTGCCACCACCACGCAGCAATAAAAGATATTCTATCGAAAACAAAAACAAGAGAAACAGCTGGATCCCACCCCAAGTGGTTAGAAAAAAAAAGAAAAAAAAAGAGAAACAGCTGGAGAGATGTTTCAATGGTTAAGAGCAGGTACTGCTGTTCCTGAGGACCTCAGTTCAATTCCCAGCATTCACAGTGTTCATGCTGGGAGGTCTGTAACTACTATAGTTCCAATAGATCTGATGTCCTCTTATGGCTTTTCTGAGTATCTACACTCGTGCACATACTCCCCAACACAGATATTTACATATACACATAATTAAAAATAAAAATAAATATTTTTAAAAGAGAAAAGAGTAAGATAACTATATACTGCATCAGAAAATACAGGCGATGGATGAAAAGAGTGGGAGGAATATGAGCAAGACAGCTGATATTTTAAGTATGAAAATATCATAATAAAATCTATTATTCTGAGCCAGGCTGTGGGTTACACGCCTTTAATCCCAGCACTTGGGAGGCAGAGGCAGGAGGATCACTGTGAGTTCAAGGCCAGTCTGGTCTATAGAGCCTGTTTCAGGACAGCCAAGGCTGTACAGAGAAACCCTGTCTCCAAAAATCAAAAAAATAAAAGAATAAAAAAACAAAAAACAATGAAAAGAAAAAACTCTATTATTTTTAAACTAAGTATAAAAATATTAAAAAGGAAAAATAGCTGATCATAGTGGAACACACCTTTAGTCCCAGTACTTAAGAGGCCAAGGCAGAAGAATCTCTCTGAGTTTGAGGCCAGCCTGTTCTACATAGCAATTCAGGCCGGCCTGGACTATTTAGAGAGGCCCTGTCTCAAAAAAAAATTTAAAATGAAATAATAGATGCTGTTGGAACAGAAAATATAGAGTTGGGGAAAGGAGAATGAGAGAATTGGTTGGATCAATTATAATTTTAATTCTTGGGAACAATCCTGGGGACTCACTGCTACATGTCCTAAACATGGTGGTTCCTGGAGGCCTTTTGGAGAAGGTGACAACTAAGCAAAGATGACAAGAGAGGTGAAGGACAAGCCATAGACAGACTGGGCATGAAGACAGTGCTCCAGGCAGCATGGGCAGTGATGACTCTGAAGCATGAAAGCTAAGGGAATAAAAGGTGAGAGGAGAGGACATGGGGATGACAGGGAGGAGGGCTGTGGATAACTTTTAGTATCTGCCTGTGTGTAATACACTAGTAAATCGCTCTAAAACTTAGCTTCTGAAAAACAAAGAAGTAAGGCTGTAAGGCTGGGAGGAAGGATAGTGCTTTCCTCACAAGCATCAAGACCTGACTTGAACACCCAGAACCTATGGTGGAAACAGGTATGGTAGCACACGGCCTTGTAAGCCAAGCATTGCGGAGGTGGAGACAGGTGGACTCCCTGGCTAGTCAGCCTGGTACACACAGTGAGCTCCAGGCAACACGAGAGTCCTTGGCTCCAGAGCCAGGTCTGCAGCTCCTGTCTTAGTTTGCTTCTCTGCTGATGTAATAGACAACACGATCAAAAGCAACTTGGGGTCAAAGGGGCTTTTTTCATTTTACAGTTTACAGCTTATCATGGAAGGAAGTCAGGCCAGGAACTCGAGGCAGGACTCTGGAGGCAGGAACTGAAGCAGAGAAATTTAAGAGGAATGTTTGCTTTCTGGCTTGTTTTCATGGCTTGCTCAATATGCTTTTTTTTTATCCCGCCCAGGCCCATCTGCCTAGGGGTGGCACCACTCACAGTGGGCTGGGCCCGCCAACATCATTCATCAAGAAAATACCACACAGACTTGCCTATATGTCAATATGATAGAGGTATTTTTTTTCAAATGAGGTTATCACAAACTTTAGCTTGTGACAAATGAACAAAAATCTAATCAGCATAGCTCTTGAGAAACATTATCTGAAGTTGTCTGACTCACATACAAAAGGAAAAAGAAAAACAAACAATGCACCCAAGTTCAGGAGAAAGGTTTATCTGGCTAGCTCTAGCTTTGGTTCTCAATAGGTTATATGGTTTTGTTTGGGGGATGCAGTAGTTTGAAAGTAATTGGCTCCCACAATCTCATAGGCAGTGACACTATTAGGAAGGGTGGCTTTTTTGGAGTGGGTGTGGCTTTGCTGGAGGAAGTATGTCACTGTGGGAGCCGGTTTTGAAGTTTTCTATGCTTGGGATACCTAGAACCCAGGGTCTAAGAGCACTTCCTGTTGCCTGCAAGATGTGGGACTCTCTAGCACATCTGTTGGCCCGCTGCCATGCTCCCTGCCATGATAATAATGGATTGAAGCTCTGAAATTGTAAGCGAGCCCCCTCAATGAAATGTTTTCCTTATAAGAGTTGCCATGGTCATGGTGTCTCTTCACAGCAACAGAAACCTTAACTAAGACTAAGGGATTTGTTTATTATTTATTTATTTATTGTTTGTTTGTTTGGTTTTTCGAGAAGGTTTCTCTGTGTAGCTCTGGCTGTCCTGAAACTCACTCTGGAGACCAGGCTAGCCTCGAACTTACAGAGATCCACCTGCCTCTGCCTCCTGAGTGCTGGGACTAAAGGTGTGTGCCATTACCACCTAACTTGATTTATTTTTTTTAAGAAAGGGTCTCATGTATCCCAAGCTGGCTTTAAATTCACTATGTCACTGAGGATAACCTCCCAGGTGCTGAAATTATAGGTATGTACCACCATAGTAAGTTTACATGGTACTGGAGATCAAACTCAGGGCTTCATGCATGCTGGGCAAGTGCTGTATGACCAATTGAGCTACATGCCAATCAGTCCTCAAGAGATTGTAGCCACAGTAATCTTAGGCTTGAAGTAGCCTCTTCAAAGTGTGTCAACTGGCTGGTCCACAGGGAAAAAAGATGGGAAAGGGTAGAACTCATTTTCTCCTTATTAGTTCTAGTTTCTCACCTTTCATTCTTTTCCTTCTCTCCTCTCTTTTGGGTGGGGTTTGAGATATGTAGCCCTGATTGGCTTCCTAGGTAGCTAAGGGTGATCTGGAAATCCTGGTCTTCCTGCCTCCACCTCTGCCTCCAAGGACTAGACTACAGGCTTGTGCCAATAGTCTGTTTTCTTTCTTGAATTAAGGTCTTACTATGTAGACTAGGCTGGCTTGAGATTCCTAACCTGCTTGCCTTGGCTTCCTGAGTATTGGGATTAGAGTACCGAACCACTGCAGTTAGTTTCACCTTCTGGTTTGAGGACTCAAACATGCCTGGCTTAATGCACAGCAACCAACCCAAGAGAGCAAGGGAGAAACCACAAGGCCTTTAATGACCTCACCTTAAATGTCATGCATCGCCACTTCTGTATTCTATCAGTCACATGAGCCAGCACTAATTCTATGCAAAAGAAACACATGTAAGCACACGACTAGTAAGAGATGAAGACTGTGGGATGTCATGTAGTAGCAGACACATTACCTTTGGAGGTGGCCTTTGGTTGAGTGAACTGGAGAGCCAGCGAAGGGATCTGAGCAGAAAAGTGATCTATATTGTGGTTTCCACGTGTAACTGGCTGCTGTGGAAACAAAGGGGAGAAGGAACTGAGAAGACCAATGAGGAAGGTACTGCAAGCCAGGAGAGGGATGGACTTGATGAAGGAGGGGGGTGACGTTGATGGAAACTGGTATTCTGAACCTATTTGAAGAGAGCAATGGCAAGCTTTCCTGGTGGGTTGGATGTGAGATGAGAGGGTCTAGATGTGTCCAGGGGTTGGGGGCCACAGCTGTGGGGAGAAGGCTTACCTAGTATGCAGAGTCCCCAGTTCACCAGCAAAGCATAAGCAGGGCGTGGCAGTACACACCTATAATCCCTGCAACAGGGAGGTAGAGAAAGGAAGATAAATTCAAGGTTGGGCCTACAAGAGAGCTCAGCAGGTAAAAGCATCTCTCTTGCAAGCATGGTAGCCTGAATTTGATTCCTGGAAGCAATGGTAGAGGTAGAAAACTACTGAAATATGCCCTCTGACCCCCACATATACGTGCCTGTCATGTGCCTGTGGAACGGACAAGCCTGTACTTAAACACATCTCTCTCACACACACCTTAATAAGAAAAAAGAAAAAAGTTCCAGCTATGTAATAAGCCTGGGATATACAAGACTGTCTTGAAAAACAACAAAGGAAGAGCTAGCGAGAGGGAGCAAAGGGTAAAGAGACTCACTAACAAGCCTGGCGGCCTGACTTTGATTCCTAGAACCGAAATGGTGGAGGGAGAGGCAACTCTAGCAAGCTGTCCTTTGACCTCCACACACGTGACATGGCATCTGCTCCCGTGAATAAACTGAAAATTCGTAAAAGATGACTTTTAAGGATTTTCCAAAAATGAGTTTGACATAGATCTTCCCATAAATGAGCTTACCCCATCGGAGAGAAGAGACATTTATATAAGCAGCCGTACTGTGTGACATACTGCACTGCGCGCTGTAACAAAGCACTGACTTTCACCATGAAGTGAGATGGAAAAGTTCTAGAAATGGACAGTGTGATGGTTGCGCAATAACAGGAATGGACGCGATGCCACTGAACTATGCACTTCCTGCCAGATCCCAAAGACACCCAGGAGATGGACTACTCACAGAACCCATGGCTCCACCCAGCACTTCTCCCCCCACTCCCTACCCTTGAAAGACCCTCAGAGAGGACCTTTCCTCTCTGATGACGACCCCAGAACCAGGACACTCCGAGACCAGGCCACAGGATACAATTAGCAAGAGGTTTATTGAGTAAACACAGGTACCTGCGGGCAGCAAGTCTTTCGGAGGACTTGCACGCTCCCAGGTTGGAGCAGTGGGTTTTTTATAGGGTAGGGAAGCAGAAGCGCGGTGACAGAAGCGAGAAGCATAGTTACAGGGTTCTGATTGGGCAATTTAAATAAGGCTCGGGTTCAAACTGAGTACAGTTCTGTAGTTTCCAAGAAATCAGATATGCATGCTGACTCGGCCCATCTAGGGTACAAACTCTTCTTCTGGACCCCAAGTCCCCTGCTGGCAGTCCAGATGGTCGACCATAGATATCCTGTCTGGCCCAACGCCCTTGCCCCTAAGTTGACCAACGCCCTTGTCTCTAAATTGAACTCCCCTGTCCTAGCTTTCAGTTATGTTGCTCAAAAATTCAAGCCTTGCAAAATATCGTTATTGCTGCTGCTAACTTAATGCTGCTAGGTAGGGGTCTTTCACTGTTGGTAGGGGTCTTTCACCCTGAACCTTTCCTGTCCAGGGACTAACCTTTGCTTCCCTTTCCCCAGCTTCTCATTCTTATACAAACCTGCCATTTTCTCCAAGAGTACTCTTGGTCCTTGGCTTCTCTCTTGATTCTCTTGCCCCCTCTCCTTTTCTCTTTCTCTTCTCTTCCTCTCTTGCTCCTTGCTCTCTCTCGTGGCCTAGTTCAGCCTTGGCCCTCCCAGATGCCTCTGACTGAATCCTCCTCTTCAGCCATACCTTGGAGCGGTCATGTGCTCATTTTCTTTCACTTACAATGGTTAAAATAGTAAATTTGTGTATGCTTTACAATAAAAACAATGCTATCTGATCGGGACATAATCTCGAATGTATAATCTCAGCACTCAAAAGGTGGAGGCATAGGACTGCCATGAATGAGTTTGAGACCAGCTTGGAATATGTAGCCAGAGAAGGCTAGGTAGCACAGCCTTGCCTCACAAAATAAAGCCAGGCGTGGTGTGTCAATCACATTACTGCAATACCCCCAGGCAAGAAGATCAGCAATTCAAGGTTGTCCTCAGCCAAGTAGCAAGTTTACAGCAAACACGAGGTACATGAGACCTTGATGCAAAAAACCCAAGCCAGCACTTAAAAGGATCACTGGTTTCAGGCTGGCCTGGCCTACACAATGACTTCTGAGACAGCCTGGGCTATTTAGTGAGGCCTTGTCTCAAAAAACAAAATAACAAAAGCCCCAAACAAAAATAAAGACTCTAAAAAACACTTTAAGTTCAAAGAATAAACGAGAACAGAAAATGAGAAAACATAATCTTCAGGTAAGGGGGTTAGAGAAGGCGCTGTTTCTGTTGAGCTAATTTCAATAAATTACCAGAAGGCAGGGAAACTGGCAAGAGAGCCAGGGCAAGATAAGTAGTTTTCTTAGAAGCCACTATACATTGTCATAGTGGAGCGTGAACTCACAGCTAAGGGGATTTACTCTTATCCTGACGTCAGAATGGAAGGATTTAACTCAGCCTCCTGAAAGCTAGACTGGGGGAAGTGGGACAAGCCTAAGACCAGAGAAATCCGACTGGGTGATGGTTGGGCAGATGTGTGAGCAGAAGATCCAGGGTTGAATAACACAGACTAGCACAAGTACTTCAGCCTTTTTAAAATGTGGCGATGACAGACCAACTTACTATAAAGACAAAGAAGGGTCGCTTGAGGTGAATTTTTGTTTGTTTTGTTTTGAGACAGGGTCCCATTCATCTTAGGCTGGACTCAAACTTGCTACCTTGAACTCCTGATTTTTCTCAAGGAAATTGAAGGTGGCTTGATAAGATTTTCATCTAAAGAAAAAAAAGGGGGGAGGTTACTAATTCATATTTAAGTAAGAGTGCTCTGAAAAATAAGGTAAATATTTGTTTACAGTTTTGTTTTGGCAGTGATAAGGTTGGAATCCCAGACCTCACACACACTAGACAAGTGCTCCACCAATGAGTTCCATCCCCAGTCTTTGCAGGCAATTGCTATTATCACAGTAGATCAGAAGGAATCCTCAGCGCTCTAAGAGTAACACCAGGGCCTGGATTCATCTCTGGAACCCACGTGCTGGGAGAGAAAGAACTCCCCAAGTTGCCTCTAGCCTCACACACTAAATCAGTGTAGTCATTTAAAAGAAAAAAAGATGGCATCAGAAGAGGTTTTACGTTAGTAAAAGTTTAAGGGCCAAAAATACTCTTCTTCTTTTCCAAGTTCCTTTTCATCAAAGGCAGCATTATTTAACCAGGCAGATGGTACTCATGATCTTGGAAATGAGATTCAGAATCCATCTTACTACACTAGCCACCAAGTGCCCACATTCCTGAAACCTAAATTCACGTTTCTCTGACAACCCTACAAGCATACATATCTGAATAACCTAGGGGCATGATCATCATTTTGTGTACAAAGACTTCTTCGTGTTTCTTTTCCATCTTCGTTCTTTTCCTTTTTTTTTCTCTTCGCAAATCAAACATCTCTCACTTTCTCTAGGTCTCAGTTTCCCCCGGACAGGGAGTTTAATAGGGGTGTCCTGCCATTTAGGCTTTACAAAATAACAACAAAGAATACGTTATAAAAGTCCCTGGTATCCAGTAAGGAACCAGAATGTTCTGATCCTTCCCCCTCGGATTTTAATCCTCTTACCTGTATTCCCCTACTCCTCACCCTAAAGTCCAGGTAAAGACCATGGGGGGAAAACAAAAAGTCCTGGATGCTAAAAGAGGAAACGCATGAGTTGGGGGCGGGGACTGCGAGGTGACCTGTGCGCATGTGCACCAGCTGGGTCAGGGTCTGGCTTGGAGCAGGAGGGGGGGGGTCGGGCTGCATAATGAGAAGGACTGGCTTTTTTTCTCCATGCCCCCTTCCGGCTCCAGAAAGTGGCGGGACGTTGGCGGTCGCCTGAGCGGGTGATACGCTAATCGAGGGCCACTTGGGCCCGAGCGGTAGGTTGGAAGATGGCAGAGCGGAAAAGAAGGAGGGGCTTTGTCAGGCGGGAGCCAAGCACCCCGGGGGGGGGAGGTGGGAAGGACATGGCCTTAGGCCAATGGCTGGGCTGGCCTGGAAAGCTGGCAGACTGCACCCTGTGGCTTTTTTGACGTGGACGCACTTGGTTCCGGTCCCAGAGTTTTCTCTGAGAGGACCGTCCGGCCTGTGGAGGCCGAGGGAGGGGGTCATAGCGATTTCCGTTTCCTTCTCCTAGGCCGCGGCCGGCCGCCCAGCGGAGTTGGGTTTTCCTGATCCGGCTCGGGCTGCCCCTCCTATGGGACCCTCCCCTCGGGAACGGTCGCTCATGGTGCTTGGGACAAGCTCACTCTGTGTGGTGGGTACAGTTCTTGTGGGTTTCCCGCCCTCCCCTCCTTTTCCTCTCTCCTCCCTCCTCCTCCTCCCCGCCCTCATCCTCTTCCCCCTCCCTTCCGCTTGGGCTAGTTCTGCCTAGTTGGGCGGGAAGGCCGCGCCTGCCCGCTGGGAATGCTGGACTGGGCTCCTTGTCCAAAGTTCCCGGGATTGATCCTGGAAGCCGTGGGTAGGGTGGCCGGCTTCAAGCTTTCGGGTCAGCCTCCTTAAACTTCGTGACACCTAAGGTAAATCTAGTTAATTAAAAAAAAAGGTGATCAACCTCCCTATCCCCCCAGTCTCACGTATGGGGCAGGAGAGTGTGTTCCTGGCAAGGCTGTGCGAAACCAGAAGAATGAGGGCCAAAGAGCTTCCAGAGGAGGAAATAGCTGATCATTCTTGCCACCCCTGGTCACTTGCCCTGCATGGTTTTGAAAGAAAAATGTCAAATTGACTTTCAGTTTCATTATTGTAACTCCACAGTTTGCTTGAGTTGGGGAGGTGTTGTTCTTCTAAGGGAGGGCAATGGTGACTGCAGTGGCGCTCCAGAAAGGAAGACGTTTTCACGGAAACTTTGGGAAGAACAAACTTCCCAGATTTTATTAATCTACTACTTTGCCTTCAAGCACAATTATGTCACTACTTCCGTCATCACATCCGTACCTTGATAATGAGCCAGTCATCACATCTGTGCCTTGATAATGAAGGAGTCATTGAGATTTAATCTTGTAAGACTGGGGATTGCTGTAGTATTCTTCGTTCTTTTCTCCTTAATACTTTTTTTTTTTTTTTGGTGGCCAGTTCAAGAGAACACTATTAAGAGCCGGCCATCTTAGAATCAGCTATGATTCTTTTAGAGTTGGCTCAATCCTTTGCTTTACAAAACAGAAACTGAGGCTCAAGGTTTCATGACTTGCCTAAGGTTACAAGATTAGAACTCAGTTTCCGTGGCTCCTGACCACCTCGCTCCTGTAGCTTCATATATCCTCTAAGTACAAAATCTAACACTGTTCTTTGTAACATTTCTGTACTGCATAATACTAATTCATTTTGGCGCCCGCACCTTTCCCAGTGAACTGAACATGTATGTACTGAACATATGTGTAAAGATTGTGCCTGGGATTGCTTTCCCCCATTACTTAAGAACGGAAAACATCTTAGGCCAAACAGAATTCTGACAGACACAAAAACCTAAGTTTGTGTCTTCTTGGACTGGGTTCCCTGGATCCTTGAAAGACACATCGGAAAAGTGATTAACACTGGATACTTCGAAGAAGAGAGATGGAAAGCTTTTCTCTTTGCTTTTCTCCTGTGCCTTAAATGTATGTTTGAATGTTTTGCTATAAATGAGTTTTGATTTTATTACTAAAAAGTTTTAAAGTATACAAAGCTGGGTATCAGCATAAGTATTTGGAATAGGTATTTATTGCCATATCTAGTCATGTCAGTGATTTATACTATATAATAATGTGTGGCTTATGTTGTCTTAACAGAGCAGGTTTGATTATTTGGGTATTCATGTTTCTCTTTTGACTACCACTTATTGTTCCCCTGTTCGTGTGAAATGGTAAAAAGGTTATGGTAGGCTTCCTGATTATCAAATTGTGTAGCAAACTGTAGAATTCAGATATCAAACTTGACATGTAGATAAATCTGAATCACATGGTCTTTCTGAATTACAATTATTTTTTTAAAAATTTTGAGCATGTAAAGATTGTATTGGGAGATTTAGCTCAGTTTGGTACAATGAGTGCTTGCTTACCATGTACAAGGCTCTGGGTTTGATTTTGAACATCTCAAAGAAAAGGTTAAAAGTTGACCAGAGTACATTATATAATATGTGGAAATATAACATTGTTTTGTACAATGAATATACACCAATAGAAGAAAGGGTGGGGGGAAGCAAGACTTGGCAGCTTAATCACTGTAAACAGTGCAGGGTAACTGCAAATTCTTGTTCAACCTAGGCTACATTATGAGTCCCTGCTTCAAAAACAAAGATAGATTGAAGAGATGGCTCAGTGTTTAAGCTTCCTGACAGCTTGCTCTTCCAGAGGACCTGGGTTCTATTCCCAGCACACACACGGTTTCTCACAGCCAACTCTAACTCCAATCCCAGGGGATTCAGTGCCCCCTTTTGGCCTTCATGGGCACTGCATGCAAACCACCCATACACATAAAATTATAAAATAAAGAGAGTAAATGCTCACAATTGTAATGTCTGCATTTGATAGAAAAAGGATCATGTGCTCAAAGCCAGCTCTGGATGTATCAGACTGTACAAACAGAATCATAATCAATAATATTTTTATATAGCATTGTATTATTTGGTACTTAAGTGTTTGCTTTTTTCCATATTTACCAACCTCATTCACGTTATGCAGTTTTTAAAATGGTAAATATTTTGGATTGGGGATAAATGCTTCAAAGAGTTTGGGATTCTAATTCAGTACAGAATGTTTGCATAATATTCACTAGGCCCTGTAGTCAGTCCCTAGAACTTAAAAAGAACAGGTAAGACTGCACACATCCCCAGTATGAAATTCTCTTTTTCAGGCTGATAAGGATCCAAAGATGAAAAAATGAATTGCTCAGTGTTATATTGCTTATATTAGCAGACTTTGGATTGGGCTCTACATTCTAGTCTAGAACACTTGTAGTTTATTGTTTTCATTCAGTGAGGCCAGATAAGGCAACAAAATAATGCTGGCTAAAGGTTAGTCAGACATTTCAGTGGGCAAGCAATATAATTAATATGCCAGTTAATTTAGTATAGCACTTAGAATTTTAACATCAATTTTCCCCTTTCATGTTGTGCATTAATTTAGCCTATCCTCTGTATCTAATGATTGATAACTCCAAATGTAACATAGTGAGATTTCACTGTTTTTGCTTGATTCAACAGTTAAGTCTAGTAGCAAGTGCTAGCAAGAGGGAAAAGGCTATGTTTTAGAAGATAAACATTTATTGAGTACCTAATAGGTGCCAAGAAACTACACTTTGTTTGAGAATCTAGAGATGAATAGATATCATATACAGTCATATACATTTGTAATTTTTGTACTTGGGAAAGTTAGGCAAGAAGGTAACATGTACTAGGACAGCCTGCGCTGCATATTGAGACTACCCACCTCAAAAAAGGCATTAAAAGATGAATAAGGTAAAGTGCCCTTGTTATTTTGAGGCAATAAGATTATGATAAGCTGGTGATTCTTAAATTTTATCTCTGGGGTAATCTGTTAATAGTATTATATAACCTGTTAACATTGTTTAAGGTCATTGTACATGTCGATTCAAGGAGACAGACAGACAGTATTAGAAAATGAGAAATTAATACTGAACTTAAATAATATACAGTGGAAAATACCCTGAATTGGATCCATTGGTACTTGTTTGTTTGTTTGTTTTGGGAGGAGTCTTGGCTTTATATCCAGTTATCTTTGGGATTGTGACTCTTAAGTGTTACCATGTTTATTTTCTTTTTCACAAAGATAGGTTTATTCTATTTAATTCAGTACAAAAAGTGTGTTTTGTGTATTTCAAAGGGCATGTTCTAGAAAGTTTATGAAGTTTGAGGTAGGATAGAAAACTAGGGCCCTGTTATTCAGTACTTTCACAATCAGAATTTTGTTGTGTTTCCTGTGTCAAAAAAGTCTCACAAGGGCCTGGATAGATGACTCGGGGGTTAAAAACTGACTGTTCTTCCAGAGGACCTGGGTTCAATTCCCAGGACCCACCTGGCAGCTCACAACTATCTGTAGCTCCAGTTCCAGGGGAGCTAACACCTTCACACCAGCGTACATAAAATAAAATTAAATAAATTTTATAAAGTCTTTAGTTCCAGGACAGGCTCTAAAACTACAGTGAAACCCTGTCTCAAACACCGCCCCCAACAAAGTCTTTCAAAATGTAATATTTGGGGGGGGGTCTGATTCACGAGGAAAGGGGTAAGTGCTAAGCTCCAGGCAGCTCCATGTCACTCAGGTCTCCCTTATTTTTTATTTTATTTGAGACAGTGTTTCTCAATGTGTAGAGCTTACTGTCCAGGAATTCTTTCTGTCTGCCAGGCCAAATTTAAACTCAGCGATCCAGCTGCTTCTGCTTCCCGAGTGCTGGGAGTAAAGGCTGAAAATAGAATTTTTATCTTATAACCTATTTAAACTGTACAGATTTGAGCTTCTTGATTTCAAAGATTCAGATTCTGTTATATTTTTAATTATGTCACTTTGTTGTTCTTGTTGTTGTTTGGTTACCTTGACATGGGATTTCTCTGTGTAGCCCTGGCTGCCCTGGAACTTGCTCTGTAGATCAGGCTGGCCTGGAACCCACAGAAATCCATCTGCCTCTACCTTCTGAGTCCTGGGATTAAAGGGACACACCACCACCTGAATCTTATTTTTTTATTTTGCATTTTGTGGCAAGGTTTTGCTGTGTAACTTAGACTGGCACATTTATATAGTGCCAGCTACTCTGGGTCTTAAGCAGAAAGATGTTTTTGGGGTGGATGTTTTTATTTTCAATTGATTTTTGCTGAACGATCTCTTGAGCTTGGGATTTTAAAAACAGACTGGCAACCGTGAGACCATGCCATTTTTAAAAGTCTTATAATAATATCAGTTATATTTTAAAGAGACAAGAAAGTAAGAGCAAGGTGAAAGTAGAACCTTAGTAACTTGTGGTTCATACTTTATTTTTTGAGATAGGTTAGACCCTAATGTGTATCTTCAGGGTGACCTAAAACCCTCCCCTTGCCTTATTGAGACTTCAGTTTCCTGAGTGCTAGGATTATAGATGGATGCTTCCACACCTAGCTTTCTTTCATTTAATTTTATGTATTTATTATTATTGTATATTTTATAAAACAATTTTATTATATGTGTTATAATAAAATATTTATTTTGTTATATTAGTGGTGGTGGTATTTTGAGATTCAATCTGTCTGTTTAGTTCTGGCTAGGTGTAAATGCACAGAAATCCTCCTGCCTCTGCCTCCTGAGTGCTGGGATTACTCAGAGCCTCTTGGCATTTAATTTCAAACTTCTTATGCTAAGTATTTCAATTTGAATTTTTTGGAAGTATAAATGGCAGTTGCTGGTCTGTTTTTGTTTTGTATGGTAAGTTCAGAATGGGATTTTAAAAAGAAAGAAGCAGACTTCTAGATTTGAGAGTAGGAAAATTTATGGGAGCTTGTAGGAGAAGGGCCCACTTTTTGTCCCGGCCACCCAGAACTGGAATAACCACACAGAAA